TTTCGTTTTATCAAACTACCCAAAAATAAGCAACACTATAACAAAAAAGTGTTGCTTATTTTCGGAAGAATACGGTAAGTGATATATGTGATATATCAGACATATTAAACATAGTTAACATATTAGACACAGTTGATATATTAGACATAGTTGATATATTAGATATATTAGTTATATCTTTATATATAATTTATTCTATATAAATAGATGGTTTTTTAGTTCATATAAAAAGACAGACAGATAGAAACTCAACAAGTTAGTTTTAGTAGTTTAAAGACAACTAGCCTATCGCGTTACATTTTTGTTTTAGTAATTTGTTTCTTTTCTTTTCTTATTTTATTTTCTTATTTTCTTTTATTTCTTTTCTTTTACTTTTATTATTATACTTATGAATAAACATCTTATTTTACAAATCTAAATCACTGGCAATCTGTTGAATTACTGCTCATTATAATAGTACAAATACTTTTGATAAACTGTCTAAATTAAGCTTGTAAACCATTAGAAGATTACTGCTCAATTAAAAAGAATAAACCGCTTGAATACCTCATCTAACAGTCGTAGTTCGCAAGAATTACATGTTAATAGTAAGACATTTTCCTACAATATTATATTTTTTATTTTAGTTTATCATTTATAAAGGCTAGTTGTAGGTGTAATTTGGGTGACCGCAGAGGTAATCGATTAAAGTTGTGAATCAAAAGTAAGCATCAATTTCTGTATTTGATCTATACAGGCTGAGAGAATATTACTATCATTTGAATGTATTAAAATTTTGATATTGTTGTCCATATTTATAGACATTGTGTTTGAGATAGAAAGATTTTGGGTTAGAGGTGTGAGTTGTTAATTCATAGATTCTTTGACATTTTGTTGTCCTATGAAAACTGTTTCATCACCGTCATCATCTGGTATTTCTGCAAAATATTCAAGTCTTGAGAAATGGTAATTGATATCTTCTTGGATGCTTTTTTGAATCATAACTTCTTCTTTAATATCGTTGAATAGATCAGAGAGCACTTTGAATTTATTTTTAAGTTCTTTGACTTTTTATTTAATGTGAAGATAATTTCGCTTGTATTAGAGGATGATGTAGATCTATTTTAGATATTGTTAGAAAGTAGTTTATTGTTGATTGGTAGTTTACTATAAGCAGCTTTGGCATATATCATATTATTATGACTATTAATTGACATTTAAGAACATTGTTAACATTACTTTTTCTGTCGAATAAGTTACCATATAGCGCTGACATTAGTACCGCGTACTATTCAAGCAAATCTGAGCCTAATTTGAATAGTACCCCAGAGGTACTATATTCGGAGGAGGGTACTACTTAAGGGGGATACTACATAAGGGGAATACAATAAAAAGGTGATACTAATTAAAAATAGATGATCGTTGATCATCTTTTTTTTCGCTTCTTAATTTCATAACGCAATGTAAATTTTATGGATAATGTGAATTTCGCAATAACATGAATTTTACGATAACGCGAATTTCACGAATAACGTGAATCTCGCAAATAACATGAATCTCGCGGATAATGTGAATTTTGTGGATAATATGGATTTCGCGAATGTGTTTTTTGTTAAATTTATATTTTGATTTCATTTTTTTTTTTTAACTTTACAATCATAACCATTCCTTCTGTTACTTTTTATAAAATAAAATAGCTTCACGCGCAAAAAAAAATACCAACTGTGCAAGAATATCAGAAAAATCACGAAGAGTATGGAATGTAAAAGAGAAACTTGCTGTTGTTATGTATCATGAAAAAGGTCACAGTAAAAACAAGATAGCAGCTAAATTCAACATTGAACCTAAACAAGTTCGTGATTAGGTATCTAAAAAAGAACAGTTTATGAAAGCACAACCTAGTTTAAAACGTTTAAATAAAGGTAAACCTCCAAAATATC